TTCAAATTGATTATACTGAATATATTACTAAAAAACTTTTTACATGTATGTAAATACTTTAATTTATATTTCAAAATTGCGCTTCATTTTGATTCTGAATTAGTACTGTAGTATTATAAGAACAAGTTCTGTCTTAAATGTTTAATAAATAGTTTAATTAATTATAGATATGTTTGTTGCTGAAAAATTGCAGCTAAATCAAGACCACGGATGACTCTATAGTCGTTAAAACTTTGCTGTTTTGCAAAATTTAGCGAAAGTTAATGACTTCACTTTGTCAATATGCAAATAAAAATTAAATGTTAAATATAATTAAATTATTTAAAATTTGAATTGAGCTTAAAACTAAGAGTTATTATTTGTAAATTAAAAAACTAGAAAAGAAAGCATTTCCTAACAAAACTCCAGAAACATGTGCGAACATAAAAGTCAAGTACGGCTTTGGATCAGTTGGTTAAAGTGCGCTGACCCTGAGTTTCAAATTTGACAGGACACGAGTTCGATTCCTGGTACTTGATTCCTGGTTTCAAGAAAATTATTTACGAATAATTAAATACAAGAATTATTTCCAAGATCATTGATAATGGTTATTTAACAATACTCGAAACAGCTGTATGGTCAGCCAAATATTCAATTAATAAAAATAATATAAAATTAATTTTTGTTGTTGTAGTTTACTACTGTTCGAAAAACCTATTTATATCCTAATTAAGTTAATTGGTCAGAGTAATAGTTTGAATGTAAGTTCACATCATAGACTGCGTTTCGGTTATGTTAAGAAAATATTATTATGCTTGCTAATAATTTTGATTTAACGTTTGAACAATAATAATATGTTTTGGATTTTAGACTCATAAATAATTATTTAAAAAGAGTATCTAAAAGACTATCGTCATTGTTATTAATAAAAATAAAATTAAATAAGACAAATTATAGTGTAAGTGCACAAATATATCCTATAGAACAGGGCTGTCCAGACTAGACGTGATCGCAGGCCAATACAAATTGCTATATAGATTGGAGGCCCGCAAAAACTAATAATAAGTTCATAGTTGTTATAATAAATACATTATGAATCGGGTAATAAATTTAAAATAATGTAGTTTTAACAGTGCACCAAAAGAAAATTTGCGTAATTATAGTATATTAAAAACATGTTGCGGGCCGTATAAGCATTAGCAGCGGGCCGCATATGGCCCGCGGGTCGTACATTGGACAGCCCTGCTATAGAAAATAAGTTTTGTTCTTGTAAGTTATCGGTTAACGAATCTGGCTGATGCTTATTTATCAAAAAAAATGTTAACATTAATTTCGTTTACAGCGAGTAAAGTACTTTTAATGACGCCTATGAAATTATGTTAAACTACAAAGTGTTAGCAGCGATGTAACATACTATACTAATGTAATTTTGTGTACAGCGCACTCTTTAGGTAGATTTAGCTAAAATTCAATTGATTGTAAGTAAAATGTTACGAACTGTAATTGTTTCAATTTCTGTGCTGAATTTAATATTTATATAAAATAAATTAATTTTTGTAATACTCGTATAATTGGACCATATTTCTTTTAAAGTTTTTTATTATGTAAATAATTTTAATCGAATTTCATTGTTTACTGATTTGTTAGATAATGTTAAGCACCCGTAAGGCAGTGTTTAGAGTCAATGTGACCGATTTCAATTATTTTTCTGTCATTTGTTTTTGTTTATAAAACGAATTCAAGGTTTTACACACGTTCACTTTGCGTCCAAGTGTGAGTGAAGTAGTAAAATACGAGCAATTAAACAAAGCAAACAACTTGTTTCAAAGAATGTTGTTGTACTACTAACTTAACTACTACAGCACAGCACAACACAGCGCAGCGACAATAACAACAATAACAATAACATTATGAACAGCACAGCACAGCAGCAATGGCAACAAAATATTAGCAATGGCAGTAGTAACAGCACTCATAGCAGCAGCATTAGTGTTCATAACATTAATTATACATACAACAGAAGAAAAAGAAAAAACATTATTTATAGCACAATTTATGGTTAAATGTGTACGCACAAACCGGCATTATGTGCTTTGCGCCACTGACCATAAAACACTTTCTGTCGTCCGTTCCCCCTGATAAATAATACTAATATTCAAAGGTGCAAAATTTAAACACTGTCCGGCGTTATGGAAGATGTTAGCAATTATGGTACAGTGTGTGAAAAAAGAAGAAAAGCATTTTCGATCAACTGGACTCTGTTGACATAATAAATTGGTAGATAAATGGGTGGATCGAATTGTTAAGATTGGTTTAAATCGTTTGTTATACATATACTGGTTTTAGTTTTGATGAAGAAAAAAATCACATTTGTCATTACATCTTAAGAACAATATTTTATTGATTGTTGGTGCTTCCTGTGCTATTAGAGTAATATACCGTAATATATCGATGATTAATATATATATTTGTATAATTTTTATAAATATATTTCATTAAAATATTTAATAATCTAATGTATAATATGAGATTTTTTGCATATATTTAATTATATATGTATATTTGTACGTTGCTTATGGACTTAGGAACAATATTTTGTCCAATTAAATTTGATAAAATTTTTATGGAATAGTGTTAGAGAAGAAAGTAAAGTTTTTGGTTTTTGGTACGTTTAGCTTATGTGCCTTTATTTTGCAAAAAAGAAAATAATAAACATGCAACTAAAAAGCACCTTTTGAAATCACTAGAAGTGAAAATGAATATGAACTACAACGAAAACTCACTAATCAATTGCCAGAACAAAGGAAATACCAGAACAAAGTGTTGCGCATGTTAAAATTAAGTTGCGTTTGATCTTCAAATTATTCTGTGATCACTTTAAAAATACATCACCGAAAATATGTGCTTCAATTGAAATGTATAAATGATTAAAATATTATTCGCAACGTGAACCACTAAAATCAACAATTAATTTTGTTTTTATTTAAAAAACAAAGAAACGAAATTCGACACTATGTAGTAATATTCGTCATACAAATTTATACATAATTATAAAAGATTATTCTAAAATAAGTATAAAACAATGCTTAATAAAAATACTAACACTGCGTTGAGCTACTTCGGTAAAATGTAATAAAATCTATTTGTGCATTAAGCTTCAAGGAGACGTACATTTATTTATTATTTTTTGAAATATTTATGAAAAAGCGAAAAAATATGATGTATTTAGATATGTCACTCACAAAAATGAATTTGGCTTCAATCATTCATATAATACTAATATAAGGGATACTGATACACATTGACCTATAGATTTGACTGTTCTTTAGTAGATAAAAAAAAAAAAAGAAAACGATCCTTTCAAAACCAAAGTCTTGGAATGAAACTAAGTTTTTGAACACCGAAAAATTTTTTAACTAGTTAATATTTAATGTCTAATATATGTTAATCTTTTAATATTGTAGAACTTCGTTCCAGAAATTTTAAAGGTATAAAATTAAAAAATCATATAGAGAATGATATACAAAGCCATGCAACTTTATAGTATAGTTTGTGGTCTGCTATTAATACAGAGAATCGGCATTATTGACATTATGATGTCGTTATTAACCAGAATCGAAGACGGATATCTACACAATAGATTTTATCACTACATCGACAATATTGTGTCTTATATTCAGATTTGTTTCTATTTTTTTAAGAAGCAAATCTAAAATGTTTCCTGAAATTCTTTATAGCAGCCTAATAACTTAACCTTTTTTTTCAAATTACTTTTATTAAAACATTTATAGATAGTGAATTTACAATATTTCTTATATCACTCTGGTAACTTATATCCAGGTTTTTTATATAATTTATTTAATTAAAAATTTTCTGAATAGCAAAATTAGAATGTTCCTTACTATTTTCTATAGCGACTGGTCAAACAAGAATGAGCCTTAAATCCAGATGTTGTGCAATGATGTTACGCTGTCTCATTTAGGGACTACTGGTAATTGACAATACGTTTTAATTAAGTTTTCTAAAACTCTAGGAATTTGTTCACATCATAATGTATGAATATATCAATACTCTATATAATATCAAGTTCTTTCATATCTATTGTCACATTTTTATGTTGGCGGATGGATTAATAGTAAGTAATGGACAGGTTATATCTATTTTATGTTATGTATTAAAAAAGATTCCGTAACCCACTTTGTTATTTATATAGTTTCTATTTAATTGTGAAGATTTTAAAGTTCACGGAATGAAGTAAACATGGTCATTAAACTGATAAGAGATATCTGGAATTTACCGCCAAATACTAGAAGTATATATATAGATGTTATATATACTTCTTAAAAAATTCTAATCTTGCTTTGTGTTATGTTACTAGAATATTACTAACTTTAATCGTTATACAACTATTTTATTACTAAAAATGATGCAAATACTTAAGTGGCATTAAAACACACCATATAACTACCTAAAAACAAAACTATAAAACAAGACCACTAATTTAAATGTAGAATGCTTTGGTATGAAACGGCTCAGAGTAAGAAAAGAAAACTATTATAATTTCCTAACAACATTAAAACTGCATTATTTACAATAACTTAGAAAAGATTCATGTCATTTAGATATTTTAAAGAACAAATATTTTATTAACAAATGCAAAGCTATGCAACAATATTTACTAATAACGCAAAGAAGTTCATTTCCTAAACCATTCAAAATTTCCGTTTCTATTGTAAACGCAATAAACATGTATGTTTAGATGCGTTTCTATAACATGAAGAAGTATTAACAAAAAATTATTAACAAAAATATTGCATTTCCGTCTCATACTGAATGCCATCTTCGATGCTAGTTTATAATAACTTCACTTCATCAAACTTAATTTGCTGGCTGATGTTATTTAGTGTGATTCTTTAGCAGCTTTGGTACATATAAAAACTGCACTATTGGTCATGCTAAGTTAATAACACTAAACCCAGCATATACCCCCACCAATATAGTAACTATAAAAACGCACTCACCTGTCTAGAAATGGTGTGGCTGAACTTGAATCCGAGCTGGACACATAACTGTGGTAGCCTTCCGACTGCGCATACGATGACTGCTTTTGATGATGAAACAACACCGGCTGATCGTAATAGGAGGACGCACGTATGTTGTACTCTTCAAGACCAGCCTGAGTTAGACTGCATTGATCGCTCATGTCGTCCTATAAAATAGAAAAATAAAATGATGTTTCAAATTAAAAATGTGCAAAAAAAAAATTACTGTTCAGTATGTTTAAAAGCTGAGATTTCAAACTCAAAATAAATAAAATTCGTAGACCAGTCTACCGTCTAACTGACAGACAGGCGGACATTCACTTAGCATTTAGAAAATAAATTAAGCTTCTGTAAAATGCTAGCGCACACGTAACAAAATCTAAGCCATGCTTAACTTCCGTATATGAAGATTTCTATGCGCGCACAGCTTTACTTTAGACTTTTTCTCTATATTGTTGTTGTTATTATTGTTGTTGCTGTTGCTGTTGTTGTCTTTTTTCACTTTGTGTGTAATAATTCTTGTGATCTGATTCGTCTCGGTCATCTCTGTGATGCATTTCATAGAGCTGAGAGTAATAACCACATAAGCCATAAAGCAAGATTGCTTTTCTTTCATTGCCTTTTTATGCTTTCTAAGTCTTTGTTGTTGGTGTTGTGGTATGTTTAAATGCCGTTAGACGTAAATTAATGATGATATATATTTTGTACGGAATAAAATTTATGAAGGATGTCACAAAGTAATATTAATGGAATCAGAATCATAGAAATACAATGTATACGAAATGACTTTGCAGTTTATCATTCTTCAGTGGATTTAACAAGTTAACGCTTGCAATTATGTGAAGAAATTATGAGATGCATACTAAGTCTACAAGTCACACGCAATCAATAGAGAGAAATATTGTTGCGTTGAGTTTAGATACAATATATACAATTTTAATACATGATATTAGTAAAGATAATTATACGAACAATACTAACACTTTCCATAGCTTAGTTTTTAACATGTACGAGTATAATCAGTAAAATGAAAAATAGTTTATAAAAATTTTTCATATAAACGGTAAACAAAATCAATTAAATGGTAAATTAAAAAGAAAATCAGAATATTATCAAGATTAGGAGCACTACAAACGACTACAAGTAAATCAGTTAGCTATCATTTACCTACTACCCATTTATGTGCAGTATACGGCCCTGGTACATTGAAGGTATATCTGGAAATTTAGGTAATTGGAAATTTAGCACATAAACAAGGTTGGTTAACTTAAACAAACGCTGTGTGATTTAAATTTTAACACTATTATACAGTTTACACAAAAAAGTGTACAATTCTTAGGAGCAAGCTCTAATTATTTGACGGATTGTTCAAAATCGGACCACGATATCGTATAGGATGTAACAGTTCTACCGACTGACAAAACTTACGCTTTATAGGTTGGTCGTCTTACATATGCTTCTGTACAGAGCGGAATTAATGAAAAAGATGCATGGACATTTTTCGAGAGAAAAGTTCTTCGAAAGATCTTTAATTCTTTACGAGTTGGTGACAACTTTCCCATCCGAATGAACCACGACCTGTACGAACATTATCACGATACTGATATAATTCAGCAATTTAATATCCGCAAATTAACTAAAATGGAGAAGGTGCGGACGCAGTAGAGTTGATTGCTGCTGACACCGAAGTACGATATCGCAGTTTTACGGCCAATTAAGGTAAAATGACATCCCTTATCTGCTATATAAAGTAAATAGTCTGGTCAAGATTCGTTTTTAATAAGTATATTCAAATAAAATTTGGTACAGATTGTATTTATGTTCATATGGCAGAATATTCAAAATTTTATTCAGATCAATTTAGATCTACAGCTATACACTGTAGCATAAACAGCCAATTCACACAGGTTTTTTGCAGAGAATTTTTTTATTTTCTAATGTACTTCAAATTTGTAACTTAAACATAATTTGTAGAGTACAACTATCGAAAAAATTAATAAAACAAAAGTCAGTCTTATTAGGATAAAACATTTCTTTTTAACTTAAATAGCTAACGAAATAAAACCGTGAACAAAAAATGTATATCAGATTTTATTAGTGCTATTATATATTACACTATATATATATGTTATTTTGTAATATATTTATATTACATTATATATATACATATAATATTATATAAAAACTGTTTTTTTCCAACGTTACAAATAATAAATATTGACTCGAACAGTAAACTTTACTACACTAAAATCCAGTAGGCATCACCCGATAAATGGTAGTTAGTTTCACTTGCGGCACTTGATCAGATCTATAAATTACAGCGATAGTTCCATCATAAGTCTTTTCAAATTTATTTAGAAAATATTGCTTATATCTTCGTTATTCATAATTTGATCAGAAAATTTACTATTACTTTCCATCAAAAGAGACCTATTTGTCTGGAAGTTTCATATTGGAAGAGGACCTAGATATATATTTTGATGGCTTGAACATCACGCGGTATGAGGTGCAACATTTTGAAAATATTTAAGCAATATAAGGTTTCCGATTACTGTGGTGCTTTTAAGGCAGAAACTGTTTTTATTATGGAAGATTATGGAAGTTTGAAAGTAAGAAATCTGTATTTATTAATTTAAGCTACACGGAAGCAATAAAAATTTGTGTTAGTTATATATAATCAAGCATTGTTTTCGATTCTGTATGTTTAAATATCGTTTTGCTACTTGTGTAATATATATTGAATTCAATATTCACTTTTTATATATTTTTAACATTAATATCTACATCTTCAGTTACGTATAAATCGATACAATTCAGAAAAAGTTAATATATTAGTAATACATTTTGATTTGATATAGACAAAAACCATGTTAGGAAAAAAAACAAGCCGCAGTAGCAATCGATAGGGCACGAACAGTTAGAATTAAATTTGCTTTAACGTATTATATAAAGGAAACGGAACTTCTATCTCCATATTGTTAGGAATACTGAATATTATTAACGTATTGCCTAATAGGAACCTTTGGTAAAAGGCTATCTGTGACTGTTTCACATCTTTCTCAGCACCCCAAATTTATTGAAGAATCGAAATATTTTGCAGTACACAGAATTATAATGGACCAGTTGTAAGTGATTTTTAACACTCATAAAACTTAACCTAACCTGGCCTAAGGTTACATTTGTTATTTTACTTGAAACTTTATGTGCTCACCTATGTATTTTGTGTCTTATTAAATAAAATAAATTATAGTAAATTGCTAATATATAAACTGTTTTATTTTCAATAATTTTAACAATTTATTTAATTGGTTTCCAAATATTTCATTTCGCACAACTATAATTGGTTACTCCTTATTATTAGTTGCTCAATTTGTTCACTTAATTTTTAACCAATGCATTCGTTAAATAATTATTTATGCCTTTGTATTTACGCAAAAAATTGGACAAAAAATGTTGAACATCATTTTGCAATTTTTACTAAACGTAAGTTTCACTCGCGTTGTTTTAACATTCAAACAAAAAAGACACCAACAAATGAAAAAAATTTACTGTTTAACAATTTAATTATTTGCGAAAGTTTGTGGCGTTTGCAAATGATCCAAAAATTATGTTGATCATTAAAAATAAAATGAATTAAGATGATCTTTGCCAAAGCCAACAAACCGAAAGAGCATCCATTGATGGCAGCTGAGTTTCGTGGCAAATACGCAAATCTTGCCATGCCACAACAAAAACGTTCAAACATTGAATCCATGGGGTCTTTTGAAGTTTTTTTTCTAGTTTGACTATTTGCCTATTTGAAGCTAAAGTAATCATTAAGTTAAAATTAGTGGAAAGATAAAAAAACAAACAAATATAAACAAGAGTGCACCAAAAGCTGTTGTGTCAATGAATCTTAAAAAAACAAATAAATAAAACAACAATGTTGCATGAAAGCGAAAGTGACCCGCTGCCAGATTTGAGCTGCTTGAAATTAAATTAAATTATGTTTATCCCAAGATCGAAATAAGGCTTACAGCCCAACATCAGATACAAAATCCAAATAGGCACGGATGTGAAGAAGTGCACCCAGTTGGAAGTCTATGAGGATAGCATTAAATGCTTAAATTAAGTTTTATTTTATTTTTTTTTTCTTTTAATTTCTCTAGATTCAAATAAATTTATCTAAATTACACAAAAAAAAATTGTTTCTATTTATTTTATAACAAAAAAAAACAAAATGCAATACCAGCAAAACTAATAATAATAATAAATTCAGACAAAGACAATTTGAATTCAATTATATTATTATTAGATATTACTGCACTTAAGATCGCTATGAATATGTGTAATATACATATATACGAATCATAGGCCAAGCCTTTAAGCCACTTGTTAAACCCAAATGGCTCTTTGAGAAGGCAGTCAGTAAAAAAAAAAATTTAAGTAAAAATGTTAAAAAAATTTGTTTAAAAATTAAATAATGTCTGCAGTAACTCAAATGAGAGTGTTTCGGCGGTAAAGTCGTATATCTTTCACGCTCAGACTTTATTCATATTTTGTGGGATTAAGACTGCTGATAGATACTTGGCTTAAAGTTTTAAAAGTGCTTAATGCTTTAGTTGTGAATTGCATGTGTAGGTTGACTTTAACTGTGAATAGCTGGAAATAATTCAAACTGGCGCCACATTAGCAACATAAAACTGAGGGAGTTTCATAAAGCTCTGATGTCATACGAAATGAAGAAGTCAAAATGATTTCGTCATACAAAATAATAAACAAATAATATTAATAAATAAAATGTAATATTAATAAAAAAAATATATTTTTAATACAATTTAAATTAAATACCTAAAGTTATCCGCACTTCGGCTCTATTAAAATAAAATTTTAGGTCAATTGTCTTAATTCCAATTTTGTTTTCATTTAATCGATCAATCAAAGTCTAACAAAATGCATAGTATAGCCAATTACTTTTTAGTGGCAACGATTTGGTTGAAACTGCTTTTTTATGCTATACCATCTACAAACTAAACACCATTTCCAGAAATTGTACTTAAAGCCTTTCTTAAGCCTTCTTGGCAATTTGATCGTAAATTTTCAAACATTTTACAAGATTTACTGCACTTTGGTCTGTAATTATGCTGTCAAATCTTTTAAACAAACTGCTAAATTTGTTTTGAATGCG